ATTTAGGGATGATACAGCTATATATTTTTCCTATGTTCTTTCTTTTCAGTAGGTTCCTAAACATTAAGTCATAAGAAGTCAAGATTATGACCAGTGATGATTAGTAATCTATTGCTGCCAGTTGTATGAGATAATATCAATATCTGAGGTCATTCTACAAGTGCAATTAAGAAAGTGACAAAACTTGTATGAAATTAACAATATATATATATATTACCATTAAATTATAAAAATATAACAAATGTTCACTTATCAACCTACTTCAATGGAATTGTTTAAAAAGAGGGTAAAAAAGTAATTAAAAAGTTTGCAAAAATTATAAATCATGTAAAGATGGCAATGTCAAAGAGTCCAGAAACAAGGTAGGGATGAATACACAAATCTATATAAAAAATCACTCAAATGTTTTAAGGACATTGTTTCCTGGAATGTTTAGACTCAAGGACAGGTGGTGTAATGTCTGATGCTGAGTTTGGATGCTTAAATTCTTGATGCTCCAGAGATCATGGATGAAGGGAAGATTGATGACTGGAACATTATCTCGATGAGATATGGCAAAGATTTGACCCCGTGGGCCCTCCGAGGACATGGCTGTTTATGTGGATGATCTAAAAGAGACTGAATGGGAAAACCTTCCCGAGCAAGTAACCTGTAAATTGTAATGATGTTCTTATTAATACGTTAATGTATGTGTTGTCAAGTAAACCCATGAAACATTACATGAGTATCAAGGATTTTTCATCTCTGGCTGAGGCTGTTTCTAAAGTGGCATGGTTCAAGAGCATCAAACCAGATACTGGAGGAGAAGAAGAAGAAGCCAATAGGAGAAATTAATTTGGCCCCAAAATAACATTAATGGTTTTTCATGGTCGCAAAGGTTCAAATAAAGCATATGTTAACAGTTACACTGTCACAAGAGTTCGTGATGCAACTGTCATGGTGCTGTATGGGACAACAGGTCTTCTTAACTCTAGGTATCAGTACTTATGTGGAAGGAGTATCCCTCAAGATGTCTACAGAATGGAATGAATAATAAATCCCCCTTTTTTAACTGTGGCTTATAAGATCACTAGCTGCAGACTGTCTGTTTTCTGTCATGAGACAAAATCGGCAGACATAATTCTATTCTGGTCATTGCTGCAACAAATGCAGGAAAATTGTTGACATGTCTGCAGCAGTTTTTGCTGGTTGGAATTAGTTGAGCTTGCGTTTAGTTTGTCTATCAGCTCAGGCAGGTGCAGTGCAGCTTGAATCCAGCATAAGGCAGTTAGTTCAGACAATTTGGACTAGACATCACATGGTATGTGCTTATAGTGATACATATACGTGATGTTGAGTTTTCAGTGAACACTGAAGTAACCAGTTCAGTGCTCCAGTTAATGGGGTATAGAAAAGAATGCCATCCACATTCTTTAAACAATTATGAATTTTGATTCCCTTGTTAACAAAATCATGCACATGGGTGAAAGTATCGAGAGTGAGACTTCACTGACTGACATCTCCCCAATGTAGTTATGTGTGCACAGCTGCACTAGTACTAATTTTCCAAATTCCAAATAGTATTTCCGTTAACCATTGATAAAGTTGGTTTTTAGTTTACTCCTGATGTTTGTTTTATGCAAATTTATCGTTAAACCTTGATTTTGGATGAATTAATGATTGATGAATGAAGTAATTAAATTCGCGGTATATATGTATATATATATGAGAGTACCAGTATAGTGTACACTTCTTTCATTGTACTTATGGAGTTCCACTCTAAAGAATTTAAAATTAGAGCACTCAACCACTTATTTGTTCACTTGTGCTTGCAACTTCCTTTGTTGTCAATGTTAATTTTATTCTTTGTAAACAAAAGTTTTAAAATCTCCTCATTATTGTAGTACTTTATAGTTCCCCGTTTAATTTTAATTTTAATATAATCAATTTTTATGTAGTTTTTATAGCCTTCATTTGATCACTCGTAGTCTTAGCTGATAGTTGATTTCATCACAATCAGAGAACAGAAACATTGGTGATGATTAAGTTTCGTGTTTACTCTTTTCGACATTTTCCCAGAATGGTACAAGTAAGTAATAAATTTATATTAATTAGAAACAGGAGCTGTCTGATAACACTTTTTGGACTCGGTTACTTTCAAAAATGGGTGCCCCCTAAAATTAAAAAAAAAAAATGCAACAGACGAACAAAAACATTTTTATTATTATAACATTTCAACTGAGAAACAAAAACACTTTTATTATTAAAGTAAGTAAAAAGAACTGCTAGATGTCAAAACAAACAAAATGATTATACAAGGAGCAAAGAGCTTAGCTCTTTTGTTGTAGACGCATATTTATCTATTATACAATCTTTGTTGTTCCGTATGTTGATAGCAATGTCTTTTTCGGCTGCAATTAGCATCAGTGCCTCCAAGTTTTGTTGTGTTGTTGATGCTCTTAAGCAAGTTTTTAGAATCTTCAATTTGGAAAAATATCTCTCACATGAACATTGAATAACACCAAGTGTTGCCCCCAGTGGCACAGCGGTATGTTTGCGGACTTACTTCGCTAGAAACCTGGTTTCGATACTCGTGGTTGGCAGAGTACAGATAGCCCATTGTATAGCTTTGTGCTTAACTTCAAACAAACAAACACTAAGTGTATTTGTACGCCTCATACAAGTTTTCATAGGCAGAAGAACACAATCTATAACTGCATAAAAGTTTAAATACACATGGAAAACAACTTCTTTCACGAGCGGATGTGGTTGAGGTTCAATTTCATCCGGCACGTCATATTCTGTCTCTGTGACATCACTTTCATGCAAGCCTCTTTTCAAGTGTTTATAGTTGGAAGCAAATGACACCAGCTCTTCATGCAGTGAAATAGAATCAATATCTGGAATTGCTTCACATTCAAAGATCAACTTTCTTTGGTTCAGCAATTATTTCTTCAAATCTATTGAGATCCAAACATGAAATTTCCTTGTATAGATCTTTGTGAGAAGCAAATCTATTCTCCAAACTTTTCAGAACTGTGTCAAAAAGTACATTGTGGCAGGAGATTTCAAAGTTTGTTTTTGGATCTTGGACAACAGTAGGAGTTCTAGAAGTTCTTATTTTGGAATAAAAATGTTTTAACTGAAGCCTAGTCTGTATTTTCCAAATCTTAAACTTGTGTACTTTCATCCTATTATCATCATAGATATAGCAAAAAAATAAGAGGTCTTTGTAAAAACTTCAGTTATATATCCTATTCTGTTCTTATCCTTCTTTTTACAAGATAAAATAAATTGAGAGGTCTTGACTTATCCCTTAGAAGGTAACTCTTTCATTCCAGAAATCATCTTAGTAGCCCTCCTTTGAACCTTAGCAAAAGATTCTTTAAGATATCTATCGCAAAACAATTCTGTATTCTCTGACTAATTGAATTTGCGAGAAAAAAGAAAGACTGGACATGATTGTACAATCACAAAAGACAATCTTTATTAATTTCACAAACATAGCATATGTGCCTTTACTTGCCACAACTGACAATCGCCTTTACTGGAGACCTGAATCCAAAGCTGTTTCTCTTTCAAGAGTGGTTCAACACCTACATGGTTGAGATATTTTACTGAACTGAATAAGTATCATGTTACTTAGCTAAGCCAGTTGCGTCATACTTACCCAAAGTGGCTTGAGCTATTCACGTGACTGGTCATTCCCGTTGAAACGTATGGAGGTCGAACCTCAAGATAACACCTGAATTCCAAAGGAAAAGATGGCTGTCTAGCTTCAAGTACTATGTACAACCTTACAGCTGTCCCTGCCACGAGAAAACAAAAGGGGCCATCTCAGGTTAATGGCACAGAACAAGATGCAACTATAAAAGTGACAACAATTTCTCGACCCTCTTGACAAACATGTCGTGTATAAACTACAAACACACCTGAATAAATGAAAAAAAAATCAAAGTTCCTTTATAAGAACAAGTAGTTAGAAAACGCCTATATACCACATGGTTAACAGGAGCTAGATGACGGACTGCGACGGACCAATATTATAACTGGAGATACAAACCTGGCACACAATATTTTCAGTGACTGTTTGTATACGGGCATGAACTCTGCTCCTTTCATGAATGAAAATTGGATCTGAAAACTATACAGTGACTTTCTCCAAAAAGCGATAAATAAAGCTGTGATTTCCAAGTTTTCTGTTTTTAACTTTGTTTTAATCCTTTTCTTCTTTTTTTCAGCAACCCCTCTAAAGGTGGAAAGCATTAAATAATTCAATACCTAGATGAGTAGGTTAGATAGAACGAGCTTGCTCCTCAATTCTCTTAGCCAGAGTGATAAACTGTGTTGATATCTCTGATTTTGTTTTGTTAAAGGTGGTTTAATTCATTCCGCGACCACCTCTAAGCTACAGACTTGTAGTGAAGGGGTCCGTTTGGTAAGCATATAATGGAACGAAGTGGGATGTATTTTTATCTCATTGCGTCTATACTTCAATAAACTATGCAAAAAGTGTGTGTTGGACAGTCTTTTGTTTCACATTTGTTAACGTTAGTTATAAATCTAGTGCTCATTTTCCATTAAGAAAAGCGGTGAATAGGTCAAGCTTCAGAAGTAAACTAGCAGGTCGATAGAATGCGATTTAAGATAACGTTTTTTAAATTATTTACAAACACTCAAATGTGTTCAAAATGCTGCAAACTAATGTACACTCACACAATCTATGTAAAACAATTTTTTTCAAATTTCCTTGTAAAGTATAATTTTAAAATTAAAACTTTATTACAGTATTTGTTAAGAGGCTACTTCTGTAAACTCCACCATATACTAAACACAAATAATATTTTTTTAAATATTCCTTATTTATTATATGTAATTGATGAAGTCTTTGTTTTTATTTCTATTTTCAGAATTAATTTATTAACCTTCTGAAGAAGAAGATACTGTAAAAACTCCTACTGCAATATCGATCAATTAGAAAAGTTTGCCAGAAGATGTCGCATAACCGAACAGCAACAGCTGTGGTGAAGGTTCAGTGCGTTTTGATAATATAGTGTACAGTATAGGCGTAAGCTTTGATTGGATTATTGCGTATTGTTAATTGTTACACTTAATGTCTGAGCTGGACCTTAAGCTTGAATAATCTGTAAGTGTTAAAATATTATTTTATGTTTGTATTATAGTAAATACAATTTATTTATTTTTCGTTAAATATGTGTCAAACTCAAAATCAACATTTCGTCTAGTTAGTTTTTTTTTAAAGTTTAGATAGGGCTGAAACAGGTCTAATTTTTTGTTCATATACATTGTTGACACTGTTAGTGTTACAGTATCCCCCTAACGTTCTCAGCCTAGCATGCTAACCACTTGGCCATGCCCAAACGCTATTACTATAGTACTGCAATTAGTTTTAATCAGTATTAGTGCTACTAAATGTTTTTCACATCTAATTATTATTACGCAATTTCTGAATTACCATATTTAACACTAGAAAAAAAAAAAGGAGGAAAAACAAATTTGGTCTGCCAGTGCCAGTAGCTAAACCACACTAAACATTGTGCGCTTTAGGCCTAGAAATAGGATTCTAACTGAGTAACTCCACGTTACTTTAGTCCTTCTGACAAGTTCTTTAACTTCTATAACTGAACTTAAGTACATAGCTAGATAACTTCTAAACTTGTCAATTATCCAACTGCAATGCTAACTTCAGTGGTTTGCGTTCTGTAACTGCCAAAAAATAAAACGGAAGTGATTATCAGTAGCAAAGATAGCTCTCATGTAGCTTTGTAGTATTATAGTATTTGTAGTAGTAATACTTAGTTATAACTTTTATAAGTTGCAAAGCCCACAGTCTAAATATTGAACTCTGTAATATTTTGCAACATGTTGGATGCTACATTGCTAGTCACCATTAACATATAACTGTGAAGTAGGGCTTCCCCTTTAAAATTTGAATATGTACTTACCTGACAACTTAAATCTATAATGAACTACATGAAAGTTACTGTTGCGTAGTTTTCTGTCCATACAAAAATACATAGCTGAGATAATGAATTTATTGCACACCAGATGTTTGTAGTTGTATAGGAGAGTATGAAATACTGAAAGGTTAATAATTGAAATAGAGAAAATGATTTATAGTTATGATTGTGTGATATTTCAATATGTATAGACAAACATTTAACATGTAACAGTTTCATTAATTTTGTTAGAAAATATACAGCATGCAATATTACTGTGTCATGAAATTCTGTAGATGATTAACTTTAATATGAGATATGTTTGAATTCAATGTGAAACTTGTAATAATTGTAGCAAAGGAAATAAATGGCATAACATTGTTTGGTGTATCAATATAGTAAGCAATGATGTAATAACTTTTTTCTATTAATGGGAGTAATGAATATTAAAATATTTAATTATTTTGTTATACATTTATTCGGTCAGTATCATTAGAGGATGCACCACATATTGTTATACAGAATCAGTGAAGTGGCAAACTTTAAATTTCAAAGGCTTTGTTAAACTGTGGGGCAAGCATGTCATAGTTCAATTGTTAGACTAAGTATAACAAAGTATAGCTTTGTCACCATAAGTGTATTAAATATATCAATATGTAACATAATTAAATACAGTTTTTTTTTTTTTGACATGATAAGAGGGGTATGCCATACACTCAATCTTCAGTGTTGAATAATGGTAACTTTTAAAAATTATTTTTTGAAGAATAAAGTCAATAGTAAGATCTCATGTATAATGGTTAGACTGGTGAATTCCAACTGGTGGTACAAGGGGCCATGGAGATCCTATGAGGGATATACAGATTATTATTAAAAAGAATAAAGAAAAAACTAAACTTCAAATTAAACAAATTAATAACATGTCACTTTGGAAAAAAAAAAAAAAAGCTAAGTTGGTAACATTGGCAGTCTCTGGATGGCTCACTTAAGATAATTCAGCAGCTATAGTTTGAGATTTTGCTTTCAGAGTTCCACATTTTGACTCTGCTCTTTTATGTATGAAAAATGAATGCAATGCTGTATTGGTTCTTTATAAAACCAAAATTTAAAAACAGACAATATTGTGAGTAAATAAATATAACACTGTTATGTCTACTTACCAAAATATCTTCTGATGCTATATGAAAAATAGCAAGTGGTACAGTTAAAGGTTTTGAAGTAGATAATCTACCTGATGAGCTTGTGTTTGGATGATGTTTTGATTCAATTTCTTGTAATTTTATTACATATTGTATGATAAACAGAAGTGAATTGACAAAGCTTATGTAAAATTGACATGTAATTAATGATTTTCACCATGTTTTTAGAAAAGATTTACGCTTCTGTACTAATTTGTAGTTTTTTGATATGACTATTGCTTTTCTTAGAGTAGGATGCTGTGTAATTTGGCTTTATTAAGGTGCCAAATAAAAGGTCTTATTAGTAAGATGAAGTTTGTAGAGAAGTGGATAGGAAATTGTTTAATGGTAGAAAGAAAATAGTGTTCATAACTAAGCATGATTCAGGGAGAGGGGAGACATGACTGGGTTTTTGAGAGGATTGTTAGAGGTTTGAAATCCATAATTCCAGATAGTTTTTCATATAAAAAAAAAAAGGAAATGCAGGCAGTGAGACTAGAGGACACCAGTTTAAAATATGTAAATCAGATATGACTCCAGGAAAAGCAGTTTTAATTTTTAAGAGAGTAGTAAGTGTGTGTTATAGTTTGCCTTCAATTGTGGTACAAGCTGCAGCATTAAAATAATTTAATTTAATTAAGCTTCAACTAGTATTTTAAATATCAGGATTAGATATAAAAATAGTTTCTTTTTGTGCATGTATAGTCTGATATTAAAAAATAGATGAAATAGAAATCTCTTGGAAAGAAAATTAAATTAGTGGGGTTCTTCAGAGGTCTGCTTTGGAAACAGTTGTTCATTATTTGTAGCTTCTTGAACTAATACTTAGACACTATATATATATGAAGTGCTTGAATGTGGGTGGTAGAGTTGGATTTTGCAAAATTTTATAGAAATAATGTCATTTCTGGTGATCACAATGATTTTTTAGAAATCATAAGAAAATTCAAGTTTGGTTCCATTAATATTAAAGTAACTCATTATTTAGCACAACTTTTTAATTGTTTTTGTTGTTCAACATGTAAAAATAACAATATTTGGAGCCCAGTGTTTGCCTTCATTTGTTGCCATTCTTTTCAGATAATAAAGTAAACACTATATAAAGGTTTCCTTTGTCATAATTTTGCTTCTAAACATGAATTTAAAACATTATCGGTAAAAACCCTGAGTTCTGAATTTTAAGTTAGGGAAAAGAATTGCAATTTTTAAAAATAGAAATGCTTATGCAAAATACTTGTTTAGTGATGGATAGGATTAACTTTTGAAGTCAAATTGAAGGTATAGTTATCTTATGATAGTCTGGAAATTTTTAGAAGAGCACACTGTAAGTTTCATGGTAGTTAACTTTTTTTTGCATTTTTTTTTAGCTGGAGATGATGATAATACTCAGTTAATTGGTAGTGTTTGGAATTTGAATATTACAGTTTGTTTTTTATTGCTGTTAAGATATTAAAATTGTAACAGAGATAATCTAGAGATACATTTCGGGGGGCTTTGCACAGAAGATCAATTTGTTAGTTTTAGCTTGTATGTTTAATTGAATTTTTAAAAAGAATTATTGGTATTAGTTTATAAAATTTTCTGGATTGTTTTTATATTTAATGATAAATTGATATTTTTTAAATTTTCTGCACTGTATTTTTATGGTTAATGATAATTTGTAAATCAACTACCTCAGTAGTGTTGTTTTCAGATTTCTTAATTACTGTATTTTTCGGTGTATAAGACACACTTTTTTACCCCAAAATTTGATGTCAGAATCTGCTTGCATCCTATACACTGAAGGTATGAATAATATATGATATACACAAGCCATGTGTAAGAATATTTAAATAGGCATACATAGTTTAGTTCAATTGAATGTGTTATTTATAACAATAGTAGGTTTTTCTTTCTTTTAAAAACATAACTATTCATAATGCTCCCTGAACAATAAAAAAATAAATTACAATGAGTGCAATGAAGACTTTGTAGGTTTTTAACCAAACTAAATAACAGTAAACCTTTTTTGATTTACAGTATTTTCTTATCTTGATGTTTTCAGCTCTTTTGTGTTTAGAACAATATATATACTAATTTTTAAAGTATCAAATTGAATTTTTGTTCTATAAAAATCTTCAAATGC